TCATCTCTTAACATGTTGTTCAGGTCCCAAATACAAATCAAGTCAGGATCTATGGTAGAAATGGGCAATTTTCAATTTCAAGAAAAAGTTGCCACAAGCGTTCTGCTCAAGTGGTCCTACAACCAAAAGAATCAATTTTCTATTAACTGATTTATCGTTTTCAAATGGGTGGTACATGTAAAAGACACGTTGGTTGCCTTTTAAAGAATAAAAAATTACCTTCTCTAGTCTAGTCTCCAAGGCAAAACGAAGAAAGCTTTGAACTTTCACTCCGCGCCCTAGCTGCGGTTCCCTCTGTTCCATTCCCGAGTTGGGTTAGGGGAATATCCGTGCGATTTCCTTCATGGATCCAAACGCGCTCACAAGGCGCACAATAAGAATAAGACCAATAGATACTTCATAAGAGACCATTTGAGCTGCAGATCGTAATGCTCCTAGAAAGGCATATTTCGAATATAGAGGAGTGAAAGTTCTCAACAATCAATGAAGTTGATCATACCCTTCTATGAACCGTACGAGCACGTCCTCTGTCACCCCCCATCGCGCTTACGGCTCTATACCCCAACCAACTTCTAAACGGGCATTTTCGGCCTGATCTTAGGTGAGAAAGGTCGGCTCGACTAGAAGGAGAGGAACGGACTCACCCTCCGTGGACGAACCTTGCGTAGTAACCTAGCTATTCGAGTCTGCTATATTAGTTCTACTACGTCACTACTGGCATCGGAACTACTGATTCGTTCCTTCATATACCTCCCCACCAATAAATAGAGACAAATGGGAATAACTGAACCTGACGTCTTTTGCCAAGCTGCCTACGTACCCTTTCTTATGTTAAGGAGACCTTGCCTCATGAGGTTGCACTCGTGCATTTGGATGATCACTTGTACCCAGGAATTAAGCAAAGTAAGGCAGGTCTGTCGGTCTCTTTACTGTTTATATCTTTCATCCAAAACTTGGTGGAAGTGGGCTATTTTATTAGCCCTTTGGTCATCCTTTAATTTATTGAGATCCACTTTGGTTTCGTTAGAGCCTGTTCACTTCTCATTCCGTTTTCTGTGATTATGGCAACGGAAAACAAAATCTGCAGAAATGGAAACTACCATTTCTGAAAAAACGATTCCTGAAAATCTGATACTGAAAACCTGTTTAGCTGGGATTTTTGTGAAACTGGAAACTGTAAACTGAAAATGAAAACCTGTTTAGTTGGTTACTAGACCTGGAAATGAGAATTTGCCAAATTTCCTGACACTAGTACATAATTCATATCAAATAAGTAGAAGTACAATCACAAATGTCAAAGGAGTCCAGCTTGGAAGTCATCCCACAACTTGTTCGCTATTCCGTCACGTCGAATTTCCATTTGTCGTGTTCGGCTTGAACTCATACGATACTCCTCTCTTTCCAGAACTCCTTGAACTCCAATAACTCCCTCCTCCATATAATAATTCTGATATTCTTCACAAGAGTGAATCATAATGAAGTTATGTAGAACACATGTAGCAATAAAAATTTGTGCTTGTTTCTTTAGTGAAAAAGAAGGCATATGTTTTAGAATTGGGAACCTAGCCTTCAAAAATCCAAAGCAACGTTCGATGACATTGCGTAGGGATGAGTGATAATAGTTGAATAGTTGTTTATGAGTTTTAGGTCCACCACCTCGATTGATTTCTTGAAAATGAGTAGGCTCCTTTGTTCGATATGGTGCTAGGAACCCAGGCATGTTCACAAAACCAGAACGAGATAGACAATGGAGAATCGACCGTCGTTCACTTGGGAGATGGGTCGCAGAGAGGAGATGTTGCGGGGAGAAGCAAGCGGCGGGTATGCAGGGCCTCGACAACTAGAGGAGCAGCTGCGGGGAGAAGCTCGACGAGAGGAGAAAAGTTGAGGCCGCCTCGACGAATCCCGTCCGCCTCGAAGAAGCTCGTCAACTGAGGAGAAGATGGTTGCTGCTAGATGATGGATGCGGCTGGACTTAGAGATGGTAGGGTTTTGTCATTTCAATTGAAACGAAAAAAAAAGAAATGCGGTCGCTAGGTCTCGAAGACCCGATCTCATTAATGAAAACGGAAGAAAACCCGTCCTCTACCTTTCGGGAAAACCAATTTTTTCGTTTTCGTCAGTTACCTCTTTTCCTTGTCATTCGGTTGCCATTAATGAAAATGACAACAAAAATGAACACGTTTTATCTTCTTTGTTTTCAAATTTTTGTTTTGACAACAAAAAATAGGAAACGAAATGGAAAGTAAATAGGCCCTTAGTTTTCTCTCCCACATTTTGATGCCCGAACTTTTTAACATTTATATTAGATCCACTATTGAGAAACTTGTGGTATGCTTTATGGGGATTTTGGTCTAATTTAGAGAACTAGTGATATCTTTTAAAAACTTATGGTGTGTTTTATATGACTTGTGTATGGTCATTCGTGGTGTGCTTCATGAAATTTGTGGTGTGCTTTAATAACTTGGGTGTGCTTTATGAGACTTATGATGTGGTGAGGTTGTGGTTTGTTTTCAAAGCTTTATGATTTTTTGTGGGGTGGTTTCTTGTGTTTGTAGATTGTGTTTGTTGGTCCCTTAATTAATAAGCCTCCTACCCTATTAATGAACAAGACACACGTGAGTCCCCACTTCCCCCATATTTTCATGATACAAAGTGTGCCCCTAGTTCTTCCAACTCATTAATTATGGTCAACTTATTTAAATTAAAAAATCATCAAAACAGAAAACTCTTATTGGTTGTCATAAAGAAACGAGTTTTAACTTGTTCTTGGTTCTGCTCAGTGGATGTAGCCCTGAAGGATCTGTGGGTGAATTTCTCTAAGGGTCGTCATTGATTGCTTCAATGAATTTGGTGTTCGTTCTGGCAATTTTATGTTCGTTGTTAGAATATGACTTGAATTCGATTTGGGTTTGTTTTGTGTTTGGGCCTATTTTGTTTGGGTTTGTGTTTGGCCTTTGTTTGACCTTTTCCTTGTATGTTTGGGAAAAGGTGTTTGGTTTTCTGTTTGGGATTAGGAGAAGAGTTCTATAAATACTCTTCATCACCCTAGTATGTAGTAAGGTCAATCGGGTTAGTTTGTTTAGTTTGTCCGTTTGGAATTTGGTTTGTAACCTGTACTCTCCTCAAATTAGTGAAATTTCTCCCCAGTCCGTGGATTAGCTAGCACACATTGTGTTAGTGAACCACGTTAAATTTGTGTTCGTTCGTGTTGGTTTGGATTATCGATTGCCACGCTTCTATTCTGACAAGTGGTATCAAAGCCATTGGTTGCGGTTCTGGAAATTTGGCGTTGGACTGATGTTTTGCTTTGTGGAGTTTGGTTGGAGTTTGTTTGATAGTAAGAATGGCTGCTCTCAGTATGAAGATTGAGAAGTTTACCGGAAGAAACAATTTTAGTTTGTGGCAGATCAAGATGCAAGCGCTGTTGAAACAACAGGGTTTCTGGGCTCCGTTGTCTGAAAAATCGAAGAAGAAAAGCATAGATGAAGAAGAGTGGATTACTTTGGAGGAGAAAGCTCACTCTACAATCTTGCTTTGTTTAGCTGATGACATCATCACTAAGGTTGCTGCTGAGAAGACTGCCGCGGGTTTGTGGTTGAAGCTTGAAAGTGTATACATGACAAAGTCTTTAACCAAAAAGTTGCATATGAAGCAACGTTTTTTCAGTTTGCGTATGGAGGAAGGTACGTCTCTCATGAATCATCTAGATCAACTCAATACTATCTTGCTAGATCTACGAATATTGATGTTAAAACAGATTATGAAGATGCTGCCTTAATTCTGTTAGTATCTTTGCCACGGTCGTATGAGAATTTTGTGGATTCTTTTATTGCTGGGAAAGATAGTTTGTCTTTGGAAGATGTCAGATCTACTCTACATACTAGAGAGGTTTGACATAAGGCATCTGGTTCAGGTTCGGAAAATCAGGCATCTGGGTTGCCAAGCACGACAAGAAATAAATGGGCCCGAAGAGTGCCCGTGCCATGCCGTCCCAAGCACGGCCCAGCGCCCATGTACAGTTAGCAGCCCACTCGACTACTCTCATGATTTCCCCCAACGAGACCCAAGTCTCAATTATTTGTGTGGTCGACTAAACAAATTGTTCATTTTTATTCATTATGGTCTATCTGGACCAGACTGTACCGGACCAGACCGCACAATCGTGGTTTGGACTGTGGTCTGGTCTCTGGTCTATACTACTGCCTCTCAGTCTAGACTATAGACTGTATATATGGTCTGGTCTGGACCAGACCACACCATTTCCCGACCCTAATCTATTTCATACGATGAGTCCAACTGACTTTTTTAATACTAGTTTATATTTTATCTAACCTACATTCTTTAAAATAAACATATTTTAATAAAAATATACATGAGAATTGTTATTAAGTAACAAATACAATATTCAAATGATAAATTACACAACACAATAACAATTGCAAATGACAAATTACATAACACAATTGTAATTTTAAATAAACACATGTACAAAATACATAACTATTTTCAAATAAACACGTGTAATAAAAACATAAAAACAATACTAGATTGATCATATTAGATTACATTGTAATTAAAATTACAAATACAATCTCTTCAATCCATACAACAATATGTAAATAAATAAAAAAGAGAGAAAGGAACACAAATGTTGTATTTGGCCACTCGGCCCCACTTCCCATTCCATTTTCTCTTCCATTAAGTGGAAGTTGTCACTGTATAAATTAGTGTTGCAGGCTGCAAGCTTGTAGCCATGACATAACATTTGTAATTGCCACGTTCTCAATGAAATGGTGGGATGAAAGGCGTTGTAGATGGTCTTAAATTCTTAATGGACAGCAGGGGCGGAGCCAGGATTTCAGGTTCGGGGGCCCGGAATTTATGTTACTCTATTAACGTAAATAGACAAAAAAAAAGCATAATTACATAAAACAATATCATATTAATTATGAAACTTCACAAATTTTATAGAGATCTAGTTACACGGGGATTGTACACAACGTTTTTTGAAATAATTAGATTAGGTGGGCGTCAATTGTTAAGGGTAAAAGGGTTAAAAGAATAAAAGTGAAATTAATGGGATCAATTAATGAAAGTAATTAGATTAAGTGGGCATCAATTGTTAAGGGAATGGGTTAAAAGAATAAAAGTGGACATTAATGGGATCAATTAATGAAAGTAGGCATCAATTATTTTGGAGAAAAAAATGAAAAAATTAACATTGATGAGGATCGAACACTAGTCACCCAGCTTACAAGATAACCAATGTTGCGCTGGGAACTTTAATTTTGTGTATCATATTAGCACACGCTTTAAATAATTAAATATAGTCCAGTTAATTCATAAACTTCAGAATTCCCGAGTATTCATACGTGATTTTTGAAATTCTCGAGGGGGCCGGGGCCCCCCCAAGGGACTGTGTAGCTCCGCCCCTGATGGACAGTGACTTGGTTCCGCGTGCATCATGATCGGTGCCAAGTTGGATCAAATTCTTTTCTTCCTCTGATATGACCAAGTTTGTCCACTCGGTTTAGTCCGTTGGCCTGTTTGAGTTAGTGGGTCAAGGGTTAATGTGTCAATCGATTTAGCGCGACTTAACCAGTTTAACTTGGATATATGCAAAAAAATATTATATTATACATGCATATATACATTATATCATATCTTACATTAGATAATAATAACATATAACATTCCATCATCCCATCAAAATAGTAATTCAAAAGAACTAATAATCTCCACATAATTGATTGTGAGGTTCATTTGACAAATAGTCAGAATTGTATAAATAATCCGTGACATAGGTCGTTTGATATTTGCGATTGTTACAATCCTTGTATTCTATAATGCATGTATTGTAAATTGGTGTATTATACAAATTGGTGCATTGTATGATTACATCGTTTGGTAGTTGTAATTGTATTATTGAAAATATATTATAGGGTTAATTGCATGGTTGGTCATTGACATTACAAAAAGTGTTCATGTTTGGTCACTAGAAAAATTTAAATCCAACTTTGGTCACTAACTTTACAAAAACCGTTCATTTATGGTCACTCTCCGTTAGCTGCCCTCCAACGCCGTTAACGGAGTCCGTTAAGTGATGACGTGGCTGACGGATTCGCCTAATCAGCACCTTTTGACCCAAAAATTGACTGACCCGACCCGCCACGTCAGTTAAACCCTCCATCTCAGCCAAACCTAACCAAACCAGGCCACACCCGACCCGACCCAACCCACCAACAAAAATGACCCACCCGCCACTAATCAAAACCTAATTTCTAAAACCTACAGGACATTCCCCTTCTCCTCTCCATCCCGCGCCGCCTTCATCTCTCTCGCGAAACTTCCTCTCCGCTCGTTTCATCGGCGACGAAGGATGAATGGAGCCCGCGCCACAGTGTGGTTGACTGTTCTCCTTGGGCTCGCCTGGTGACTTCGATTGCGCCTTCCTTGGGCTCGCCTCCGCCGCCGCTTCCGCTGCCGCCGCTGTTGTGGTCGTCGTCTTCGTTGTTGAGGGCGGAATTGTGGAGGGAAGGGTGGTGGTGGAGGTCGAGGCCGCCCGGGAGGCCGCCGACCGGGCCGGTCACCCCAGGGGTTGGCCAGGGCTGCGATTCGAGGTTGGATTAAGAAAAAGTTGATGAAGCAAACAAAAATGATTAAGCAGAGAAGACAGAGAGGGAGAGAAAGAAGGAAGGGAAGGGTTTGTTGTGGTTGGGTTTGTAATTAGTTGTAGTTGGAATAATAGTTAATGGAGATTTGGGAAAGAAGGGAAAGAGGCCTCAGTTTTGTTGTTTAGTGGGGGGGAGATGGAGGATGAGGAGGAGAAAGTCAAAAGGCAGTGGGGGGAAGTTTGCCGTCTGTCCGTGGATGGATGGACTCTACTGTTTGTATGTTTCTTTCTTTCTTTCTTTGTCTCCTTGATTGATGTTGCTCGACTACAGTGAGTGTAGAGGAAGTATGGTTTTGAGGAGATGTGAGTTTGGTTTAGGAGAGGGAATTAGATGGAGAGGTAGAACCCTCCTCACTCACAATTTTTTTTCTTCTGCAGGGGATGGCTCTGCTCACACTGTCAGCATCAATCCACGTCCTGAAACCAACCTGCGACTACTACTCCGCGAGCCCCGTCTGCCACGCGACCGGGTCCCAGACGTCGGTCTTCTTCGTGGGGCTGTACCTGATAGCGCTGGGGACCGGCGGGATCAAGCCCTGCGTGTCGTCGTTCGGGGAGGACCAGTTCGACGACTCCGACCCGGGGGAGAAGGCGAGGAAGGGATCCTTCTTCAACTGGTTCTACCTCTCCATCAACATCGGCGCCCTGGAGAAAGGAGTCAACCACACTGTGGCGCAGGCTCCATTCCTCCTTCGTCGCCGATGAAACGAGCGGAGAGGAAGTTTCGCGGGAGAGATGAAGGCGGCGCGGGATGGAGAGGAGAAGGGGAATGTCCTGTAGGTTTTAGAAATTAGGTTTTGATTAGTGGCGGGTGGCCCGGGTGGGTCATTTTTGTTGGTGGGTTGGGTCGGGTCGGGTGTGGTCTGGTTTGGTTAGAGGTTTGGTTAGGTTTTGCTGAGATGGAGGGTTTAACTGACGTGGCGGGTCGGGTCAGTCAATTTTGGGGTCAAAAGGTGCTGATTAGGCGAATCCGTCAGCCACGTCATCACTTAACGGACTCCGTTAACGGCGTTGGACGGCAGCTAATGGAGAGTGACCATAAATGAACGGTTTTTGTAAAGTTAGTGACCAAAGTTGGATTTAAATTTTTCTAGTGACCAAACATGAACGCTTTTTGTAATGTCAGTGACCAACCATGCAATTAACCCATATATTATATAAGTACTTTTGTTGGAAATCTCACATTTGCCCTTCCTTTTAATCATTAACATATGCATCAAAACCATGCTTTATCACGTTCTTGTTTCCTATGTAAACCAGAACTTTCATCTCCTCTCTCAAATCATTACCAACAACAAAAAGAACAAATACGATGCTACATAATAAAATGATAACAGAAGTTCATGACACTTTAGGGGTCGTTTGCATGCGTCATTTGTAATACGAATCATTTGCTCAAATGTAGGATTTTGAGAAATGTTGACATTACAAATGTATTGTTTGTTTAATAGTTCTTAGATGAGTCATTTGTATAAAGTTATCATTTTGCCCTTGCATTTAATATATTTCATTATCTTGTTTCCTATTCTAATAAAACCAACCATCGTGAATAAAATTATTTTGAAATCAACAAAAGATATATTTTGGGTGTATGCATGTATAATACTACGTTCTAATTTTAAATAATAATTCCAGGTTAACTTTCTTTATAAAAGGTAACGCCTCATAACTCTCGAATTTGAAGCTAATTACAAATTATGGTGTTTGTGACGAAAAAGATGCGCCGCTACATACATGACCCTCTTCGTCGCTTGTGTAATTTGGGAGAAAGAAAAAAATAATTAAGAGAAAAAGCAATTACATAGAAAATAAATAATAAAAAAAGAAGGATAGAAGTGGGTTTACATAAAATAGGTAAGGAAATAGTTGGAACATTTGGACTATAAAATGAATAATTTGGAAATGACTCATAGATAGTATGCATTTGGAAATGACTCGATAGGTAGTAGGCATTTGAAACTTTCGTATGGACTAAATGATTCATGCATTTTTTCTTTAGCAAACGAGTCATTTGATATCAAATGACTCAAGCAAACGACCGCTCCAGAAGCCAACGAACCAGAAACACAATAGCCTCTTGTAGTAAACCAGCAACATAACCATCATATAAATAGGGGGAACTAGCAGTTCATGTTTGGACGAGAAATCAATATCCAATATCATATAAGTCTATTACAGCAGCCAATGCTTTGGAAAATCAACAATATTAATCCTATGACAACCATCAACAGAACGAAAATCTAGCCATTATGTACTTAGCTACTACAAAATAAGGATAGGATGTAGTTCTACATTCGACCATGAAGATACTTAAAAGATCTCCATTGAAACATAATAAAAAAGACATGCAATCCTAAGAAGTTCTACTCATAGTACAGATGCCTAGATGCTTTTACTCAACAATGCGAAGGAGAAAAAGAAATTTCTCATCCTCTGTTGGCAGCTGGTAGTACACCTGTGCAACTCGATCGCCCTTAGTAAGAATCATTAAGGCTGAGATGAATTGCACGCTTGACAAACCTTTCACTTTTGACAGCTCGTACAATTTACCCCTCCTTATTGTCACTTCATCATCAAGGCAGAAGCTATTAGCAATTTTCTCAATGTTCACAGTAGCTCTCTCCATGAGAGGGTGCAATTTTCCTCCAATGACCAAATTTCCATTACCCCTAGATTCTTGAATGAATAACCAAATGCTCCAATGAACGAATTGACCCCTGTCTGTCACATGTGGCAGATGACATGGCACCAAAAAGGCGATAACATGGAGGTTGTACATGTGGTATGTATGGAAGACTAGAAGCATATAGATGCCTCTAGGATTCTCCCAACCTTAATGAGCTTTAGTGTGCACTTATATTAGCGACATTATGGGTGGTATTAAGAGAGTGCATTATTTGGGGACATAATGGGTGTAGTAATGGAGACTGACCATTATGAGGAGCATTGATGCCTTGTATGTGGAGAGACCTATATAAGGAGCCATATTCCTCATTTGTAACTCATCCCATATTTTTTAGAGTAATACACTTCGAGAGTTCTTCCATTCCTTTGTCTTTCTTCATCTTTCTTTGTGAGCACGTGAGTTTGAGAAAAGGCTGCTTGGTTTTCAACGAAATTGAGAGCTAAGGCCGCACGACCAACACCAAGAGTAAGGTCGTGACTCGTGAGAATTGTTACCGAAGACCATGGCCAAGAGATAGCCACGGCCTATGGTAAGGCCAAAGCAGGCGAACATGGGCCCATGACCGGGCTTGGTGGCTGACCTAGGAAGAAAAATGACTAGAACTGGTCCATCCAGAGAAAGCAGATTGAGACATAGTAGGCAGTTTGGACCAAGTAAGCCCGAATTGTAGTACATGGAGTAGTATGTCATGTTCGGGAATGCAAGGCGGGATGGAGGCTGAACACGATGGGTTGACCCAGTTTTGTGACCCAACCCGGCTTGATCATATTCAAACCAAACCAAACTGGGTCGATCCAAACCTAAAAATAGAGGGCAGTAGGGGCAAAGGCTGGAGCGTCATGGAAGGGGTTGTGGGCGTGGTCTTTCCACTGATGGTGACCCCTAGAGTCGATGATAACCGAGTTGGACGAGCAATGGAGTCTAGGCAAGGTTCAATGAGTGGCTTTGATAATAGGAATGGTTATGAGTTTGTCAAAGAAGAAGAATGGGAACATGACCTACAATCGGAGCAACAATAGAGCCGTGCGCCACCTGGAGGTAGTCGTGGAGAATCTGGTATAGGTAGGTATAACAATTTTAACCCCTTGTATTGGCCAAGCCTCTTGTCATTTAGTTTCCAAAGTTTAATGGGCAAGAGGATGCGGGGTCGTGGCTCTATGCTGTTGAGAGATGGTTCCGCAACCACTCTACTATTGAGGAGAAAAAGGCGCATCTGGCTTCCTTTAATCTGGAAGGTGATGCATTATAATGGTGGAAATGGATGGAGCAATCATATGAGGAGGCAGATATGATAATCACATGGTCGCGATGTAAGTAGGAACTAAGGTTCCAATTTGGTTCTTCAAATGGCAGGGGGGGGGGGTGGCCCAAACCTAGGCTATGACGCTTGCTTTTGAGTACACAATTAAGACTTGAAGTTCATTTACACAGTAAGAGAAAGACACCTTCGCAAAACTAGTGAACTCGTGACCCTTAGCCCAAACTGACAATGTCATTTAGTGAAAACCATCATGGGTAAGCCATGCTGCCATGAATTTGAATTTTTTTGGTTCCGTTGGATTCGTGGGTGAGATGGTTTTAAGTAGTAATGGCATGTGGTATGATTTAACTCGAGGGAGGTTGTGCACAGCAGCCTCTGGAAAATACCAAATCCCTAAAAGAACCCTAAAGCTACTAGGCCACTAATCGGCCGCCTACCCCCCAAACCCCTAATATTTGTGTTTCTAACACAACAACTAGCATTATTGGAATCAATTAGTTCATGACAAGGTATCATAGATGATTTGATCAAGTGGTAGTGTGTTTGAATCTCCATCACTCCCAATCTTAACATCTTATTAAAACACAAGTTGTAGTGAGCCTGTGCAAACTTCAAGCCCGTGAGTTGGCTTTTTTTCTGAGGAGGAATGTAAGAGAGGGATATATGATCCATAATTAACCTCCTCCCAACGACTCAAATTGAAGTTAATGATAGACCAATAATTACACATGTTTTTACCCCTATTCTTGAGTCGTTTGAGAGGTTGACTCTCGTGTTTAAGCCGATTTCACGCGAGGTTGTGTGTTTATGTCATATTTCAGGACCCGGCGTTGGAATCGAGGCGAGGAAACGAGTTTTGGGTCGAAAGGAGAGAAGTTGGGTCGAACTGTGCTGCAGGAGGAAAATACCCGGTCGTGGGCTCAAATACCCGACCGGGTATTTATTGTTTTGGCACCCGTGAGAAACAGAGGGGGGCCCGGTCGTGAAGCTTAAATCCCCGACCGGGAATTCTTGGGACAGACCGGGTATTTTTCCCTTCATCAAAACGTGCGTTTCATTTATACCCGGTCGAGACCCAAAATACCCGACCGGGTATCGCGACAGACATAAGTTTTAATGGAAAAGAAGGCCAAAGATCAAGGGGATTCGAGTTTTTGAGAGATAGAGCGATTCCTAGAGAGAGAAAGTGACGAACAAGAGTTCCCAAGTGCCATAGCTTGATCTTCATCACCATTGGAGCCCGGCTTGAGCTTGGAGAAGTGCCGATCAACGTCCAGGAGCAGAAATCCATTCTTCACAGTATGATTTCCGCGTCTGATTCTGCTTTTGCTTCTCTCTCCATGGAGTAGTTCTCCCATTCATCTGGGTATGGAGAACCCTAGATTTGTATGTTAGGTTTGATTGTATGAACCCAAGTACTGATTCTATGAGTTGATTATATTCGATTGAGGCTTGAATGATTGAATGACTTAAATCCTGATCAAATTCCCGTTGTTTCTGCTTTAACCTAGAATGAGAATATATGCCTAGGTTGATAGAGCATCCTTGATTGAAGGTAGGGAGTTGGTGACTTTAGTCGAGGAGCCAACTCACTATTCTGTACCGAATTCACTTCGGTAGTGGAGGTTTTGTTCGTAGGGCCTCAATCTGTTTACTCCGGTGGAGGTTAGTCGCCCGCTAGAGACTCAGATTGAGAGGGTCTGGAGACCTTTAGTCGAGACTTCAGAGTGCTTAAGAACCTTCCGCAGTATAACTATCATAGAAACTGAACTTGGTAATTGC